ATTTTAACAAATATTTGAAAATTTTTAATGAAAACTGGAATAAAAATGCAACGAATACGATAAATTTTATGTTTTAATGAATTTATTAATAATAGTATTAATCTATATACCAGTCATACAAGTGTGGACACTGTTTATTGACCTGCTTTTAAGAATTCATTTAAATTGTAGAAAAACTGTGTTCTAAGCGAAAACTGTGCTCTAACAATGGAATTATAGAGTTCCTGAGATTGGAATTATAGTAAAATTGTATTAATCATTAAAAGTCCTTAACCTTAATTTGATTTTTACCTCCATAAAATGCAATTAGAAATATTTTTTGTAATAAATCATTTTTTTAAATTAATCTAATATAAGAAATGTAACCACTGAATAACTTTCCTTAATAAGCTGTAGAATAATTTTATAATTTCAGAATTTACATAACAACAATGGAATTTTTAATCTTAAACAATGTGTCGGTTTTTTCGTTTTCAATACCATAACTAAAAACTTCAAAAAAAAATTTTGATTTCTTTGTCAAGTTCTAGTATAACTACCGACATCCAAAATAAAACAAAACGTATGTCAACTTAATAGAATAGCCGAATTTAATTATTTATTCTTTGATATTGGATTCAAGGCACATTTAAATTTTAATAGGCTATAAGAATATAAATCCTTTTAAAATTATTAATTGACTTGCGATGCTTTTATATTGGATAATAAATAACAAATTTGTTATACTTAATGGTATTACTAATAAATTTTATGACTAGTTTAAATAAGATAGACAATATTTACTTAAGCTATTTATAATATTTGAAGAAGAAACATATCTACACACTCTTCTAATTAAAATATTTCAGGAATTTTTCATTTCATTTTGCTTTATATTATCAAAATTAAACTGTGTTATATATACATAATTAACTAATTTATTTACAATTTAAGCACAATATGAATACATATACACATATATTTACAAATATTCATTTGTACTCAGTATATACAAATATTCATTTAAATAAGTTTAAAATTTTATAATTGGTGTCTTGTTAAAAATGAAGTATTAAACTTTTCTCTTAACTTTTTAACTTTGAAACAATTCATTTTGAGACAGGTGCCATTAAATAATTTAAAAATATCTTATTGACAGGTGAATGTCTAAAAAAAAAAATTTTTAATTTTTGTTTTTCTTTATTAAGAAGTTTTGAAAATTTCATAAAGAGCACGAAATTAAAATAAAAGTTTTTGATAAATAGTAGGTACTTAAATGAAGTCGCTACTTATTCTGATGAAGAATAAATTATGTGTTAAATTATGTACAAATAACACATACCATTTACTTATACAAAATATTGTGTATTGAAAATTGTTATATTTTATTAAATTTTGGAATAAAAATTGGTAAATAACGATAAAATAAAATTTTAAATTAAAAATATGGTATTGTTCAGCTCAATGAATGTTTCCTCGCTTAATTTATTGTTTTATTTCTTAGCTCAACACGAAATTATTCTAAAATAAATTACAACATTTTTTATAAATTAAAGAATAAAATACAAAGTTTGATAATCCGATTTTAGATTAAAATTTCCATTATCTAAATTTTGTTGGCGATTTTCAATGTTCGACGAAATTAAAAAATAAATATTTCTGAGACACTAGATTTTAATTTAAGGGGCTACCAGAGTTCTTAAAACTAAAAAAAAAAACATTGCAAATGTTCACTAAAAAAATAACAGATCTTTGGAATTTTTATTATACAGAAAATATGCAATCCGTTACATTAAACAGAATTTGATCGATTTTTGAAGTACCACATCACACTTTTTAAATAAAATTTATATTTAATAAATATATTAAAATAATATTCCATAGATCTTTTATCTATAAGTATGTAAGTACAACCTTAGATGTAATGATATTGACCTTATATGAAGATTTTGTATTATAATCGCAAAATGTTTAACAAATGCAAAACATTTAAGTGAAAAAATTGGGCATAACTGTTTATTGATGCGTACTTAAATGTATAAAATCGTAAGTTACTATTATTTCTTTGCAATTACTTAAGCCTTTCATACATAAGCACATATTAAAATTTTATAATAGTTTACATACACATATAATACACAAATACTTAAATTTTCCAATTCATTTTTCTTTAAATTAGATCTATTCCTTTTGCCTGGTATCGAATTTCTTATACGACGAAGTATACAAGATAAGTATATGAACTTAGTTTTAGTACAATGTTATTTTTCAAGTATATGCCTATATATGTATGTATATATAGTAAAGTTACGATTAATTAAATTTTTATGTTTTGTTTATTTGCATATACGTATTTTTCATAAAATAGAACATTTCATATAAGTACATTAAGTATATAGTAAGCGTATAACAATAAAATACATATTATGTATCTGCATTCACATATACATATATACGTATATGTACTAATAACCAATTTCATTTATTTTTCTCTTTAAGTTTTGTATTCATAAAAAGTTATATGGACTTAATTTCATTATCATTGTGATCATTACTTATACGAGTACATAGTTTTATTTATGTATTTTCATATTCAACAGCAGCAGCAACAATATGATATATTAATACAATAATAATTCTCATATACTTATATACACTAAGTATAACAGTTATAAAAGTACATATTCATTCAAAATTAAAATATTTTGAGTTATAATTAAAGTTATGGATAATATTTAGAGCGTTTCATTTAATGTTATATACAACATTATATTTTCTGTGCATGTGTGACATTATAGCTGTTATATTTCCAACTGCACTAGCCTATATACAAAAAAGTAATTAAAATATTCCGGCTTTATATTATGCAAAATATACATTAATTTTGCTTTTATGTGTCAAATCTTCAATATTCAAATTTGTTGGTTAATTTTTACTCCATAAGTGTATATAACAGGATTTCCAAACAGAAAAGCGTTATAAACCAAATACTTCTTCAAACTTAATTTCGGAGAGCTATATTTCAGTAAAAGCTACGCCAACACTATTATTGTATGTAGGTATGTTAGTCATGTATATGTAAAAATAAAGTATGTTATAGATTTCATTTGAATTTTCTTTCAGTATAGTTTTTTTTCATTCTGTTTTCGTTTTTGTTTTTAAATCCCACTCTGTTATATTCTTTTGAAAATATAATTAATTTTTTTTTTTTCATATAATTTTAGTTTTCATTTCATTTGATTGAGGTGAAAATAATTTTCGAGGATATCACAAAGAATTATTGATCCATCATTTTCAATAACTCTTGAATCAAATAAAGAAAAATGAAAAGTTTTTGAATAAATTTTCAAATAATACACAAAAAAGAAAAAAAATAAAACTTTTTAATAAAGTTTTTTAATTTAAAAAATATAAAAATAAAATCTATGTTTTTCTCAAATTAATACTTATGTATGTGTTGATTTGTTTGTATAGTTTTAAAGAAAAAAAAAAGAATTTGTTTTTTAATTTTTCCATTATTAAATTTTCAAAACAAGTTCAACTTACAGTCTCAAATTATATGAAATTTTCATGTCCATTTTCTATTACAAAAGAACATACTTCTCTTATAAGTTATATTCCGATTGGAAGAAGGTAAAAGGAGGACACGTGTATGTAGTATACGTGTAAGTGTAAGGTAACGACGATGAGAGTTAACCTGGTAATACTAGAAACACCGTAAAAATTAAATAAAATTCTTATAGACTTTTGCAACACACATATATATATTGAATTTTCATGCGACTTGATTTAAATATCTATTTTAAGAGATTTAATGAAGCAATGGAAAATAATTTGTATAGGGCAGGTAGTTCCGATTTTCTACCATATTATATTACTAATTTAGAATTTTACTAAGTACATTAAAACGCTCTTTTTAACACCTTTTCAAGTCAATTGAAAAAAAACGTGCTTGTCCGTTGATCCGAATGCATTTTTGAAAAATGATGCGAGTGCATTGCTTTTCAATATTATTTTTTAATTTTCATAATTACGTTACAATTTCCGATATAGCGATATTTGGAATTTTTACAAAATATGATTATTGAAAATGATGTTTTAAAAGCGGTTTGTTTTAAAAAGCATCCAACTCTATACACTTACTTTGTGTTTAGAAAAAAATAGATTGTGATTATTGATTTTTTCCATAATTACATGAGTTTATGGCACGAATAAAATTTGCATATAACAGTACACTAATGCACTGACATTACACACATACATATATGAATTTGATGTAAAATTTAAATAAAAAACATCCTATTTCCAGCAAAAGAAATCAAAGGACTTTCACATATCATGCATATGCATAACATAGCATTGAATGTTATGTTGTAACAAATTTTTTTTCCTTTATTTTTGTTTTTTGGGACTAAGTTCGTCTTTATTTCAAAAAAAAAATACACGTCACCAATTCTTCAGAAACAAAATTTAAAAGTATAAATATTAATAATCAAAGAAAATATTTGCATATTTTTATAATTAAAATTTTCTTAAATTTTATAAAAAAAAGTAAGAATGAGCACTTAGAGTTAAAATATGACAAAATATTAAAAGAATTTCATAAATGATGAGAGAATCACTTGAAAACTTGACTAGAAACTTTAGCGAATGGACGTTGGGATTTGATCTAGATTGAGTAAAATTTTTAATAATAAAAAATAAAAACCTAGACGAAATAGAAACCTTAAACGAAAGAGGGTACAGACTGGATTTAGATCGATTAAAATTTTTAACAGAAAGTAACTTTAGCTCTTTATAATTTTACATATTGTATATATCTGCAAATGTTATTGATTTAATAAAATCTAAATTTATTATCTTCCTGAAAACTTTTTTAAAAAATTCCAATAAACTTCATTACGGTTAAAAAGGAAAAACATAATAAAAAATTTTTAGTGCAAATGATTTTATAATTTCCGAAACTATACTTAATTTTTTATTTATTATTTTTTAATATTCGCAAATAAACCAAAACTTACCAAAACTTTATTTTCAGTTTTATCTCCTTTCGTTTCCAATTTTACCATATATTTTACCAAGATTTTTGTATGTCGCCCCAATATCGTTTTAACGCTCTCTGCAAATACCAAAAAAAAAAATTATAAAATAAATGAATAAATTATTAAAAGTAAATAAAAAAAGAAAGGAAAAATTTGAAAAATAAAATTTTATTTTTATATTCAATATTTTTTTTAATTAAATTCTTAAATTGCTTTAAAAATTCATATATGTATGTATATATAAGTATTTTTCAAGGATATAAGGATTTACGTATTTACGATTACATTTTATATTAAATTTTATATGATTCTTTATTATTTTATATTATATTTTGTATATTATCCTTTATTAAAACACTTTATTAATTTTTATTAATAATAATTTATAATTTATAAATTCGAATATGATTGCCAAATTGTATATAATTTCGGACAAAATCCCAATTGCAATTAACCTCATTTTAAAATTATTACTCTCATTTCTATATTGGGAGCTATACAGCTGTAATGTATCATCTGCTCAAAAGGAAAATTGACTATCAACAAAATTGGAATATAAAGTTATACAACACCTAGCCCTAAAAATTTTGGTACTTGTAAATAGAATTCTCAAAGCCAGCCAGTTAGTGTGCAAGAACTACAAGCAATCTATTCAATTTTATTTTGTATATTATTCGGACATATTCGAATTATATTAAATAAATAATTTACAGATGTTGTTAGTCTTTAATGAAAAGTCAAGTTGTAAGTCAAAAACATAAAAAACTCGCAATATTTTTTTTTTGGAAGTTATTTGAAATTTGCAGGTATTGATAACAGTTTTGTCTTAAAAACTTTAAATACTTCCATTTTTTATTCAAATACCACCAACAAAATGTTCATTTTTAGTGATGCCATAAAATTTAAAACAAAGCAAAGTTTAAATTGAAAGATTACAAAACATTAATTATTTCACAAAAAAATTAAAATTAAATTATTATTCATTAATTAGCATGTGTCCACATAAGTTATAAAAATCCCGAATAAGTCAAAATGAAAGAGAAAGTATAAATTTATTTTAATTTATACTTCATATTAAATTTATCGTATTAAAATGATAATCATAACATTAATAACGGCCGAATAAACTAATTCCTAAAAAAAAAAAGGAAAACCAAAACGATCTAAGAATAAAAAAAAATAAAATTTATTGCAGTCAAACATCTGGGCCTTCATCACAATCTGATTTATACTTTGTTTTGTATTTGCTATAATATAAGCGATAATGTTAATGTGTGTAAGTATATGTACATACTCATGTATACAAGAAACATAAAATAAGTAAATAATACTTTTTAATGCTTTTTTTTCTCCTTCTTTAGCACATTTTCAAAAAAAAAAATTTCTCAATAGTTTTACCATTTGACCCGTCAAATTAACTGTTATCTCAAATTGCTATTTCACTTATTTTTTATTCTACACGGCAACTCCATTTAGTTAAAAATTATCATGCCTCATAATAATCAAAAAATTTCTCTTCAATTTATGCAAAATCAGATAGTAATAACGGAATTATATTTCAATACATCATTTTCATTCCATAGATCCAAAACAATTTTAAATGTGTGAGCTCTACTAGGTTCAAATCTTGAGGAGAAAATGCACAATTTCGCAAACTATCGAATAAATTTTGTTCAAAATATTTTAAATTACTTTTCAGATCATTTAAATATTTAAGTTTTATGTATTTTATAACAGTTTATTTGTATTAGATTTAATTGTTTTGATATTTTTAAAAAATTTCTCAAGCACATTTGTTTTTTTTTTATATGTTCAACCTCATAGTATAAAATAACAGAAATGATTTTTGAAATTCCCTGTTGCATGTCAAAAATTACTAAACGTTTACCATATATGTACATATATAATTTTAACATAAATTTGTGATCATTCTAATAAGTACTTAAATTTTTAATTGAAAAACGACGAAAGCTAATCAATTTGCGAATATCATTCACTAAATAGTAAAAATCTTCAATGAATCTCAAATTGAACTAAATACACGTTTATTATCAATGAAAAATGGTTTATTGTATTGATCATATGGAAGTGGAATATTGAAACATTAACATTTTTTAAAACAAGATCATAATTGATTGTTGTGCTGATTTAGGATAAGAGAATTGGTTCAATTGTAAAAATACAACAAAGGTCGCACATACAAAATCAAAAAAGACCTGTACAATATAAATAAGTAAGGATCGAGTTAGAACTAAATATGTACATATATATTATATTGAAGCACAATGCTGAAACGCAATTACGTATTAAAGACTACGATAGTCACTACAGAAAATATTAAAGAACAAACACACTTATGCCAATTTTCACCAGTATCTTAGAGTAACCAGTTGCACCGCCAAATTACTTTTTCTATCTACTACATACACACATACATTATTATAAACTGTTTAGCATATTTTTTTGCTTTTAATGTGAACTCAATTTATCCAAGTTTAAAAAAAAACGCAAAAAAATGCTCAAAACTTAAATAAATAAATAAAAACCTGTCATTCAAATTTCCTTCAAAAACAAAAACAAAAACAGAAACAAAATGAATAAATCATTTATAAATTTAAATGAATCATTTTTGGAATAATTCAAATGATTTGAATTTTTGGGTTATAAAAAACAACAAAAAAACACAAAAAATAGCAACAAAATTTCAATTATTGTTAAAAAAATAACATGAAAAACAAAATGTATAATAATAACAACATTTCAATTAGGTGGATAGAATGAATAAAACGAAGAAAATATTATAAAAAAAATAAAAGTCATTCCAGAGTACTGCTTACTACTCCGAGCCCCTTATCACCCCTTCACATTTCATCTTCTTTCCTTTCCTTTTCCAAAAATAACAATAAAATTCTTTGTATCTTGCGAAATTTTAATACTAAACTAAAAAAAAATTAAATAAATAAATAAAAGAAACCAAGCAAATAAATTTTCACACCTCTACACATATTGCCTGTTTTTTTTTAACGCTTTACTTATCACTCTTATTAAATTATGTACATATGCACATAATACATATAATATGTTTGTATGTCCATTACATTGAGAAATTTACTTTTTGCTAAGTCAATATTAAGCAACAATCATCCCGTCAATCAATCGGATCAATCATTTTAATCGTAAATCAATCAACCATATCTATTTTATTTACTTGTTCTTGCCACTGTTTAATAGGCCACTATTAAAACTACTTTAATATGGTATTTTTATTAATATAAGATATGTATGTTTGTAAGGTATGTATGCATGTATGTAAGAAGTAGTTAAATATGAAAAATATTTTAGTAGTTAAGAATTAATTTAGAATCAACAAAAATTTTAAATGAAAGAATGGAAAACACCTTAAAACTGAAATCTTATACTTAAGATTTAAAACATGTTTGAAATGCGGGACGTTTCACACACAAAAAAAAAACTCGAGTTTGATATCAAAATAAAAATTTGTTAATATATGAATAAAAAGTATACATACATACATACGTTTATTATTACTTAAGCGTTCATTATACACAAATAAACAAGCAATAAAAAAAATACACAAAAAAGTTTTTTAATAAAAAAAAAAAAACTAAAAAAGCATTTTTGTAATTTTTCTGTTCTACTTTCTAGCTTGATTTTTTCTCTTTTACACGTATACTCGTTTTAATAGAAAATCGAAAATTATTGACTTATTGTTAATACAACAAAATACAAAACAAAGAAGTAAAAACATTAACATAAAAAATACACGTAGGTCTATGATATTAAGCGATTCTGACTTTATGTTAAGTAAATAAGCGTTGATAGGCTTATCACTATGAAACAAAAAGCAAAATAAAAAGAATGGAAAATAAATCAGAAACTTTTCAAAAAAAAAAACTTTTTTTTCAGTGAAATATGTAGGGTAACTGAATTTGATTAAGTCAACTTAAGTCACTGTTATAGGATGTCTACAGTGTGCTTTGGTTTATTATTATGCTGTCAAAATGGTATGAGAAAGCACAATTTTATTTTAAAAACATTTCTGTAAATCGGTTTAATTTTGGAATAAACCCTTGGGAACCAAATACAGTTCGTCATGCTGCAAATTGTTGAATATATTTTGAAAAGGTCGTGGAAGTTTTATTCGGTGACTTTTTGTAAAATATCTTAATTAAATCAAGACACCATAATTTCTTTCTAAATTAATCTCGTTGGGCGCAAAACACGAAACAGATACAAAACTGCGAAAAAGAAAGTGTAAAAAAATGTCTAATATAATCTTGTCACATCATATTGTCCAATAAATTGTAAAAAAAAACTATTTAAATATTGGCCGGCAAATTGATTTCAGATCCTAAACATTCATATTTAGAAATTATTTTAAATATTATTATAAAATTCTATTAAGAATGTTCTAATTATCTGTATTTAAAATATTTTCAATTGGAATATTATCCATGATTAAACATCTGTTCGAATTGCGTACTTAAATGTCACAGCAAATATGTACGTCATATGCAATGATATCATATATCTAAATAATACTCGTATTGTATTTTGCAGACGAAACATATGTAAAATAATTTCCCTTGCCCAGCTGATTTTCGCTAAAAAAGATATATTATTACTAGTACGAGTATATTATTTTTTTTCAATTGTCAAGGTCTGATGTCTGGCGGTGATGACTGATGATGTACCATAGCAAATGAAAAATAAATTTTCGGATTAAATTATTTTAAATTGATTTGACTTTAGTTATTTTAATAAAATTTGTTGCAATAGTCAAATTAATTTAAAAATGGTAAAATGATGAAATATGAAAATTTTGTGTTTTTGAAATTTTTAATAAATTCTAAAAAAATAATTCACACGAAATAAAATTTAAATTAAGAAAATAAAATTTATTAAATTTAAAATTAAATTTTTCATCCGGTGTTTAAAAATTATAAAATTTTTTTGTGTCTAATACATATGGTTAATATTACTATTGAATTTTAAAATTTTTTAATATTTTCTTAACAAATCGCTGCATTTGATTGAAATTTTTTAATTTTTGAAA